ACTCCCACCATGGACCACACTCCCTCCAGGGACCACACTCCCACCATGGACCACACTCCCTCCATGGACCATACTTCCGTCACGACCCTCATGTCCTCCAGGGACTCCACTTTCACCACCAGCTCTTCCTCCCATGTAGATCCTGCTTCCATCTTTCGCAGGACCTCCCACTAAGCTATGGGTGCGCTCTCTGAGGTGGAGATTGTGTAAGTTCAGGTTACTGGCTCTAGAGTGACTGGTTGTTTCCCATTATGCATAGAGATATCTGCCCGCGTGGAAGAACTGGCTCGGCCTAAGAGGTTCTACTCAGAGTATTACAACAACAACAGGTAGGGGTGTAAGACACTCTGAGCAATCACAGGAAACTTGTAAGTCTGAGGCAGCTGGACCCATGGACCACATTTGTTTGTGGGCAGGTTGGTAGTCCCCCACCTGGACATACTTGCTGTAATGGTGGGAGGAGGAAGAGTATTTGCAGCATCTGAACCTTCCCAAGTCAAAGAGATGATGAGACAATGCCTGCCTAGAGCTAATGCCTACATGCTTCCACCTTGCAACCTTCTTATCAGTTCCTGCATATTCTACTTTGCTTGGTTTGATAATCTGTATATTGATGACACAGAACTCAGAAACCATGCCTAGAGGGAAGTGCTTATTACAGAACAATGTATAGTTCAAGATCAAGACCAATGGGACCCACCCCAGGGCCATGATCAGGAAGCATGTGGACAAGCTCCCTTCTCCAGGACAGGGCAGCTCTCTCAGCTCCTCTCAGCTGTCCAGGACTCTTTGTGGTCCTGTCACTAGTAAGTGGCTCTACTATTAGTCCCTTTCTGGGCCCCTCACTCTCCAGTGTCACAGCCCTGACCCCATGGGCAGCTCTTGTAGGAGGCTCTGTTGTTTATCCTCCTTCCTTCTGTCTGAAACTTCTGTGGGGTTGGCTGCTCAGATCTACAGTTCTGGTCACTTTCAAAGCATGTCCCTCCCACCATGACTGTGAACTGGCCAATCTCCTCTCTGCTGGCCACAGACACTTTATTTGCATGGAAGCCTGTTATCTCATCTGCACAGTCAGTCCCTGCGAGATGCAGACCAATCATGGGGCCAACTGTAGCTGAAGACCAGCCAGAAAATACAGGTACACTTGGGAGGCATTGTGGTTTAATCCAGACCACCTCATAAAGGAAAGATTGCAATAGAGCAGATGAAAATTATCTCACACAGTACTCTGTGACAGCATCATGAAAACGTTTGAAATAATGTAAAAATTTTAAAAACATGGTAGAGAGGCACAAAGAGAGCGCATGCTATTGGAACAATGGCACCATGGACTTGCTTGTCAGAGTTGCCACAGATCTTGAGTTTCTGCAAATGCAGCACCGAGGAAAAACAGTAATGCAAATTGCACGAAAGCCAGGTATGCCTGGATTGCAACGCCAGGGGCTTCCAGGAACCACCACCAGCCTGAATGAAAGCTGCAGCCCTGCTGGGCACAAAATCGGGGCACAGCGAACGCCTCCTGACTCGGGGGTGGGGGTGAGGAATCTCTCAGCTGTTTCCCCACAGAGCCAAGGCTGTAGCCACAGAAATGTCACCATGCACACCAAGTGCAAGACACGTGTGAGTGTCAAATGAACAGAAAGCCCCAAGCCTGAGGCAGTTTGTGTCACTACCATGACAACTCTGTTCTGTTGGCCCCACAGAGCTGGCAACTATAAGGTGCATTTTTTATGTACACTTATGATATATTCCTATTGCTTAGAATTTTCTTGCTTTTTGAAAATGAACTTTAGAGTTTTTTTGGGCACAAACTTTATGACATTTAAAGGAAAATCTAACTGGGATAAATGAACCAATATCTACCCAGTTCTCCCCTCTCCAAATTACTGAGGAGCAATGATGTCAGTTTGAGGACTAACGTGCATCTGAGTGAGACCATGGTTTTTCAAGTCACTTGCTAAGCATCTACAAGCTAGACAATAAATAAGGATGACAGAAGAAGAATTGATGCCTTTGAGCTGTGGTGTTGGAGAAGAGTACTGAACATTTCATGGACGGCCAAGAGAACAAACAGATATGTCTTGGAGAAAGTACAAAGTGCTCCTTGGAGGCAAAGATGATAAAGCTTTGTCTCATGTACTTTGGACATGTTGTTAGGAGATAGAATTCCTTGGAGAGGGATAGATTCTTTGCTTGGGAAGATGGAGGTTCATTGGGTGAGAGAAAGACCTTCAAACAGGTGGATTGACATAGTGACTGCATCAATGGACTTGAGTGTGTCGGAGATGACAAGGATGACACAGGATAGGATAGGGTTCGGATCTGTTGTTCACGATGTTGCTATGAGTTATAATCAACTCAATGACACCTAACAACAACAACAACAACAACAACAACAACCACCACCACCTAGTTATAAATAATTTTCACCTCAGAGATGTGGACAGGAATGTTCTTTGTTGCATTCTCATCTATCTGTATGCACAATATCTTTGCATTTTAATAAGGAATTGTGGTGTTTGAGAACAATCTAAGCTGCACTTCAACAACCTAAAATCTGCGAACCAATAACACACATAGCCTGCTTGAACAGCTACAACTGAGGACACAGACAAGAAGGACCACAGACCCACTGCTGCCCAGCTGGTAGCCTTCATAATTACATCCCAACTTCAGAGACCTTCCGTGTGCACAGAGACCACTTTGTGGTCAGGAGCTGCCAAGCTCACTCCAATCCTCTAGCACCCTCACAATCTCTGCTGTGCTGAAGTCCGCTGTTGGAGCCACCGGGAAAGTTTGTTTTATTGAGGATCTTATTCTGTTTTTCTAACCCTTCACCTTTCTAAATATGGTGTCCTTTCCTAAGGACTGGTCCCTCCTAACAATATGCTCAGAGTGTGTGAGATGAAGTCTCCCCATTCTTGCTTCTAAGGAACACTTCAACTTCACTTCCTCCAAGGCAGACTTGTTTGTTCTTTTGGCAGTCCATGGGATAGTCTCACAAACACCACAGCTCAGTGGCACTGATCCTTTGGTCTTCCTTGTACGTTGTCCAACTTTCACATGCATATGTTGTTTAGTTTTTAAGTGCCATCGAGTCTAGTATGAGTCATGGTGACCCTATGAATGAAAAATCTGAACTCTGTTCTATCCAGCACCATCCTCACACTTCCTGACACACAAGAGCCCATTGCAACAGTCACTGCATCAATTCACCTGGTTGAGGGTCTTCCTCTCCTTTGCCAGCCCTCCACCCTTCACAACAGCATGTCCTTCTCTAAGGAATAGCCAGCCCATCCTAGCAACATGCCCAAAGTTTGTGAGTTGAAGCCTCATCATTCTTGCCTCCAGAAAGCACTCTGGTTGCACCCTCTCTAAGACATAATCTGTTTGATCGCTTGGCCGTCCATGGGATGTTCATTGCTATTCTCCAACACCACAGCTCAAAGGCATCAATTCTTCTACCATTCCTATTTATTGTCCAGCTCTCAGAAGCATATCAAGTGATTGAAAAGAGCATGGCCTGAATCAGACACATTTTAGTCCTCAAACTGACATCATTACTCCTCAATAATTTAGAAGGGTTCCCAACTGCAGATTTTCCCAGTGTGATGCATCTCCTTATTTCTTGACTGCTGGTACCAAGGGTGCTATTTGAAGATCCAAGGAAGATGAAACTGTAGACAGTTTCAGTCTCCTCTCTATCCATCATGCTGTTGCCTATTGTCCCAGTAATAAGAATCTTTGTTTTCTTGACATTGAGGTGCATTCCATAATCTTCTGCAACAAGTGCTCCAAGTCCTCCTCACTTTCAGCAAGCAAAGTTGTGTCATAGGCCAGCACATATGAGTCTACCTGCAATCCTGACATCATACACCTTTCACAGAGTCCAGCTTCTCATATAATTTGTTCAACAGACAGATTGAATATGTATGAAAAGAGAATACAACCCTGACACACTCCCTTCTCAATTTTAAACCACGCATATGAAGCAATGAAAAATACTCTTGGGCTTTAAAGTGAAATATTTGGTTATTAGCATTTTAAATAGGTCTTTGATGGCAGATTTGCCCAATATAAATCTCGTTCTCTCTTGACTGCTGTTACCAAGGGTGTTGCTTGTGAATCTTGATAAAATGAAATCCTTGACAACTTTAATATTTTCTCTACTTATCATGATGCTGCCTCTTGATTAGATGGTGAGAAATTTTGTTTTCTTGATGTTGAAATATAACCCACACTAAACATCATCTTTGGTCTTCTTCAGTCAAGGTTTCAAGCCATCTTCACTTTAAGCAAGCAAGAGATGTTCAAGTGAACAGACCCCTAGAACTCATAAAATGAACTTTTGCTTTTGAATCTGAGCCCTTATTTTAGGAGGCATGAACCACTCTTACTAGTTTCATGTGGCAGCCATGGGGCACACACTGGGCCTTTTGGGTCCAAATCCTCATACAAGCTCCTGCACTTTGGGGTGGAAAGGGCCTGGAAGGAGCTGCCCCCACAGTGGAGGGTGGGGAGGGGCAGATCATGGAGACAGCCATTTATTTGCTCATGGAAATGGAGAGAGTTTGGAAAATGGGCAGCTTTGTCACTGAAAATTCTCAGGGCCCTTCTCTTAGAGGTCTGTTTATAAACCCTTTTTTGGCAGTGCTTTCAAAATCCCCACAATCCTGGGGTCTTTCTTATCACCAGAAACAGAAAAGAACTGAGAGAGAGAAATCACACATCCAAACAGAGAGAGAGAGAAACAGAAACACAGATACTCAGAAACAGTCATAGGCACATATAGACTGAAACACACAGACACACATAGAAACACTCAGGAACACTCACACTCACACACACACACACACACACACACACACAGATGGCATGTTTACAGAGACACACAGGAAAACATGCACATAGACACAGACACACAGAGATGACATACATAAGACACACACATACAAGCAGAAATGTACATACACAGACATGTACACAGAAAACATACACAGATAGATCCAGGCATACACACAGAGACACACAAAAGCACAGAGATGACACACACAATACACAGAAACATAGAGATACTCACAGAAACAGAGACACATAGAAACACACACACACACACAAACATACACACCCAGAGACACATAGAAATAGACACATACTCACACAGAGGCACACGGAGAAAGACACATAAAGAGGAAAGCGCACTGTATGGGGACCACCAGGTCTGACTTTTACCACCTTTACAAAGGGGTACTGTCCCCATCAACAACTCAAAACCAATTCCTATGAAGTCGAACGTGCCCTCCATGTTCCCACATCTTTTTCTACTCATCCCAACACCAATCTTAACTTCTTTAGTGGGTCCAAAATTTTATGTGATAGCTCACAGACCACACAGAACCATATTAGGGAAAAAGTAAAAAAACGCAGTATAACAAGGACTCAAACTAAGGCTGTCTGAAGGCCGCGAGGAGGCGAGCTCTGTGCAATACTGTGGTGGGCCATCTTTCAACTTCCTCTGTGAGAAAAATCCTGCTGAAGATAATTTTCAAAATGGCCAGAGAAGTACACTGAGGCCACATGGGAGTGGGGTAATTCTGCCAGCTGGCTGTGCTCGCACAGGGTGGTTCCCACAGTATTTATGTTTACAATATATCTTAACATTATAACATAGAAGAAATGTCATTATCCATCAAATATATCCAAATAAACACAATTTAATACACTTCATCCCCAAATTTTATCATTTGATCTCGAGTATCATTTCTGTTGACACGGCCATATTTTCCAACTATTAAGCCTTCTTTGTTTCCAACTTTTGCGTTCTGATCACTGATTATTATGCACATTCAATCAATTTCAGACTGCAAAAATTAGTAGAAAGCACACCACTCTTCTTCAGCTTATTTGCAGCACAGCAGATCTTGTGATTGTTCAAAATAGCCAACACTAGTCCATCTCAGCTCACTAATGCCTCGGATCTCAATCTTCACACATTTAATTTCTGTTTTTCATAAGTACAGTTTTCCTAGATTGATACTTTGTACATTCCATGTTCCAGTTCTATTATTGATGGCTATTTGCAGTTACTTCTCTGAGTCTTGCCACAAAAGCAAATAAAGGACCTTCATTGGGCAAAAGCTTTAGTCTGTCCCCATTATTCTTGTAGACTCTACTTTGAAGGGCAGCTCTTCCTCAGTGGCGTTTTGGGTGACTTCTTGCCTGAGGTACTCATCCTCCAGTACTATAGCCAAAAATATACTTCCATTACCTATGGTTTTTGAAGGCTTGTTATTTTGTAAATGGACACCTAGTGCTTCTTAGTCAATGTTAATCTGGAAACTTTGCTGAAACCTGTCCCTTTTGGGTGACCCTCCTGGTATTTGAAATACTGGTAGCAACTTTCAGCATCACAGCAACACACAAGGCACCACAGTAAACTAGACTGATCCAGATTGACTGATGTGTGGTGACTCTTTTAATAGTCCATGGTATTTTTCAGTATTTTTCACCCACTCTATGATTCAAAGGCATTCATTCTCGTTCAGTGTTGTGTATTTCGTTGTCCAACTTCCACATGCATATGAAACAATTTAAAATATCATGGCTTTGGCCCTTAAAATTACACCCTTGCTTCTTTAATACATTAAGGAGATCTTTGGCAGCAAATTGCCCAAATCAATACATCCTTTGCTTTCTTGATTACAGCTTGTACAGGTATTGATTGTTGATTCATGTAAAATGAAATCCTTGACAAGCTCAATTTTTCTTCATCTGTCATGTTGTTACCTGTTGATCCAGTCGTGAGGATTTCTGTTTTCTTTATTCTAAGGTGGGATCCATGTTGGAGGCTGCACTCCTTTGCTCTTCACCAAATTATTCAAGTCCTGTTCATTTTCAGAAAGCAAGGCCCTGTCATCAAATGTTGTTTATTAGTCTTCTTTCAAGCCTAATACCACATTCTTCATATTGTTCAACTTCCCAGATTGTTTTTTTATCATACAGATTAAAATACATATGGTGAAAGAGTACAACTCTGATGTATACCTTTCTTGATTTTAAACCGTGTAGTATATACCCTTGTTTTGTTTAAAGAACTGTTTCTTGATTCATGTATAATTAAGTGTTCTGGAATGCCCATTCTTCTCAATGTCATCCATAATTTATTATTAATCACATAGTTGAATGTGTTTGCATTCAATAGGACACAAGTAAACCTCCTTTTGTTGTTCTCTGCTTTCAGCCAAGATCTATTTGACTTCAACAATAACGTCCTCTGAGACATGACCTTTTATGAATTCAGCTTAAGTTTCTGGCAGGTCCTTGTTGATGTACTGCACTGCTGATTTATTGTAATCTTCAGCAATATTGTGCTTATTATATTGTTTGATAATTTCCACATTCTGTTGATCCTCTATTTTTTTAAAAATGAGAACAAATCTGTATCTCTTTCAGTAGGTTGATATTTGTCTTCCAAAACTTTATGATGTAGGTAAGTGAATACATCCAGAGCTGTACCTGTCTGTTGAACACCTCAGTTCTATCAATTACATGAAACTTGTTTCTGCCAATGCTTTCAGTGTAGCTAAGACCCCTTCCTTCAGTACCATTGTTCCTTGGCTGTATGCTACTTTCCGAAATGGTCCTATATCGACCAACACTTTTTGGTACAGTGACTTTGTGTATTTCTTCCATCTTACTTTTATACTTCTTGCATTATTCAATATATTATCTATATAATCCTTCAGTATTGCAACTCAAAGCTTAAATTTTTCCTTTAGTTCTTTCAGATGAAAAAGGCTGAGTGTCTTCCTCCTGTTTTTGAATCTTTTCTTGTTTCGAATGATGTGTATCTTCTTGAGCTACTCTTTTAAATCTCCTGTCTACTCTCTATATTTTTTCCCTTTGCTTTAACTTCTCTACATTGAAGAACAAGTTTCAGAATCTCTTCTGACATCCACTTTGATTTCTTTTTCTTCCCTTTTTAATGACCATCTGCTCTCTTCACGGATAATGTTCTTTATATCATCCCACAAATGGTTTGATCTTCAGTGATTAGTGTTCGATTCATGAAGTATATTTTTAAAATCGTTTCTAGGTTCAGGGAGGATAAACTAAAAGTTGTATTTTGATTCTTGTGGACTTGTTTTAAGTTTTCTCAGGTTCAATTTGAAATGAGGTCGTATTCATATTAACAAAGACCATTTTTAGACCAATCCTGAAATATAATGTGAGCAACAGGATAATATCAATACATATACAAGGAAGACTTGTTAATACCACTATCATTCAAATATATGCACCAACAACCAGAGCCAAAGAGGAGGAAATAGAAGATTTCTACCGAATTTTGCAGTCAGAAATTGATCGGATGTACAACCAAGATGCATTAATAATAGTGGTTGACTGGAATGCAAAAGCTGGAAATAAGAAAGGATCAATATTTGGAAAATATGGTCTTGGAGAAAGAAATGAGGTTGCAGACAGGATGATAGAATTTTGTATCATCAATGGTATATTCACTCCAAATACCTTTTATAAGAAACACAAACCACACATGACATGTACCTCGCTTGATGGTCTACATAAGAATCAGATTGATTACACCTGTGGAAAGAATCATTTGTGGAGAAGCTCTATATCCACTGTGAAAACTAGGCCAGGTGCTGATTGAGGAACAGACCATCAACTACTCATATGCAAAGAAAATGCAATCAAATCCATAAGAACCAAAATTTGACCTTGAGCTTATTTCACTGGAATTTAAAAACTATCTCAGGAATAGGTTTAAGGGCTTTGGCACTAATGAACGAAGATGTGATTAAAGAGTGAGGGAGGATATCTAGAACATTATCCATGACAAATGCAAAATGTCATTAAAAAGACAGAAAAGGAAGAAAACATGGAGGTGTATGTCAGAAGAGTTTCTGAATAATGAATGACAGCTCCAAAAAGCCAAAGCAAAGAAATAAGGAAGTTAAGGAGTTGAACAGAAAATTTCAAAGGACAGTTTGGCAAGACAAAGAAGATTATTGCAATGGAATGTACAAAGAGCTGGAGTTAGAAAATCAGAAGGGATGAACTCGCTCAGCATTTCTTAAGCTGAAGGAACTGAGGAACAAATTCAAGCCTCGAGTTACAATACTTGCTATGCAAAGAATGTTGAATGACTCAGGAAGCATCAAAAGAAGATGGAAGGAATACACAGAGCCACTATAGCAAACAGAACTGACTGACACAGAAGACATTCATGACACAACATGATGAGGAAGTCAAGTTACTCTGAAGGAATTGGCAAAAAACAAGGCCCCAGTAATTGATGGCATATGAGTTGGCATATTTGAACAAACACATACTACCATGTATGTGCTTACCAAAGTACAGTCCACCCTATGAGACCCTTGGGAACTCTTGCAAACAAGTGTAAGGGTATTGTTACAGTTGTTTTCTCAGGAATTACTTCTGCTTCTGGTACTCAGAGCTGCATCCCTTGACTTGGGACTACAGCATCTGGCAAGAAGAAAACAATTTCATGTAATGTAGTGAAAAATTGTATAGTAGCATCAGCATCTTCCCCTACAGTGTCTTCTCCAGACATCCCTGAGAAATATAAGGATCTGGCCAATGGTGAGTCCTTTAGCACCTCTCATATTAAGTGTGAACACACACTCTTGAATGTGTGTGAGCCAGCCCTTCATAACCTTATCCCTCTGTGATTTATATAACAAATGTTTCAATTGCCCATTCCAATTATTTATCAGACAATTACTCTGAGGGTGGTAGACAACATGGTGTGTCCATTTAATATGCTGTTTCTGCACCCTGTGGGCTGTAAAGTGTGTTCCTTTGTCTGAGGAAATATAACTTGGAGGATCAAACTGGTACAATATTTTTGTTCCAGTCCTTTAATCATGTTTTTGGCATTTGCACCAGTTACAGGATATGCAAAGCACAGTCTAACGTAAGTATCTATTCCTGTGAGGACCTATTTGTAGCCACATGGTGCCACTGGAGTCATATAATCGACTTACCAACTATATAATCCTTCTTGATGTTGGGGGAACAGAAAGGCCTTCATTGAGTCACCCAGACTCCATATTGAATCACACACAGATTCACAGAACAAGCATGCATACACAGAAACACACACAGGTGCACACACAGAAACAGACACACATCTGCTTGGCTGAGCAGGTGGTCTAAAATGTGCATGTCTCTTAGGACCACACCCATCTGGCCAATCGGTCGGTCCACCTTGGAATTCCAAGCATCTAATCGCTTGAGGGAACTGGCTGCTCCTAAGATCCGGAATAACATCTGGAATATAAGCATGTCTGAGGTAAGACCCTTGCTCTTCTGCAGACCTCGCCCCACTTCCTCTTGGGAGGCCACAGCCGCACCAAAACGCCAGCTGGGGAAGGGGCTGTTCAGCATGCCTGACTTGACAAATGTGGCTGTCACATGTTCTTTAAAATTTGGGATTTAATACTACTGTTGCATTGAAAAACAAGGAACTCATGCAATATTATTCAAAATGGGTGACCCTGGAGGACATTATGCTGAGTGAAATAGCACAGTCACAAAAGGACAAATACTGCATGGTGCCACTGTTGTAAAATGAGGCTGACATCAGAGTGGGGGTAAGTCTGAGAAAAAATGGATAAATTATGTTTACTGCATTGAAGCCGATAAGGGAGAGAACAGTTTAAAAAGAATATATTTTAGAGCATTATGATTATCATAAGAGTTTGGAATGAGGTTTGCAGAGTGGAGTATACTCAGGGTGAGGATGGGAGGGAGTGGGAGGGACTGTATACCAATGAGGGAGTTCTTCTTTTGCTTTTAAAGAAGAGTGAACTGGGGGTGGAGGTAGGGTGGGCAGGGGAAAAAGTTAAACAATGAATGAATGAATGGAATTCCACAATCTCTGTAAATGTTCATTGAAATTAATAATAATTTTTTAAAAGTTAAAAAAAACCCCAAAAAACCAAACCTTGGGATTTTTCTGAACAGCAAACGGTCAGGTTTCTCCAGCAACTATCTCTTGGGGTCTGTCTGCTGTCCTCTACCCATGCTTGGCCATTCTGCCTCATTTTCATAATTTTTATATTTGATGACATAAACAGACCCATAGAACAGGATTGCAGTGTGCTATGATTTTAATATAAAAGATGGCATACTTTTCTTGATTTGTTCCTGGACTTTAAAATTTTTTTTTTAATTTTATTGCTTTTTTGTGCGTGTACCATCAAATCAAATCTGACTGGTACAGGCGGAGATTGTCCCTCCTTCTCCAGTACAGCATCTGGTGGATTCGAACCACATACCTCTCGGATTGCAGTGCAGCTTCTTGCCACTAGGCCACCTGGACTTTTTTAAAACAAAACAAAACACAGTGATCCATGTAGTTTCATCTAGAAAGTGTATTTTGACTGCTGCCTTGTGTTTCATCCTGAGTGCGCTGAGATTATCCAGAGCCTGGGTGATGGGCATATAGTGCTTGTCAGAGTCTGCCATAGCAGCCGCTGTGCTCACATCTGGGCTCAGCGGAGATCGGGGCAATCAGGTGTGTTGAAGGTGGCTGGCCCCACTAACTTCCTGGGGAGGGACAGAGAGCCACTCATGACTGATTATCTCTCTGGTGTTGTTTTCCAGTTCTGACACGAGCCATCTCCCACAGCTCTCTACTTTTCTGCAGGGTTTGATAATCTCTTGCAACGGCTGCATAGAACTCAGATGATACTCAGAATTTTGGGGTTTGTTAGAGAAGCAATAGGTTTTAATTGTTATTAGGTCTGTTGAGTAGAGTACAATCCATAACCACTCTGTAGATGACAGATCCGGACCCTGTCCTATCCTGTGCCATCCTCACAATTCCTGACACATAAGAGCCCATTGCAGCAGTCACTGTGTCAGTCCACCTGGTTAAGAGTCTTCCTTTCCTTTGCCAATCCTCCACCTTTCCCACCATGATGCCCTTCTCCAAGGAATAGCCCCTCCTAGCAACATGTCCTCATCATTCTTGCCTCCAAAGAGCATTCCAGCTGCATCCTCTCCAAGACATATCTGTTTGTTCTCTTGGCTGTTCATGGGATGTTCAGTGCTCTTCTCCAACACCACAGCTCAAAAGCGTCAATTCTTTTAATGTCATTTTTATTTGTCGTAAAGCTCTATACATAGCAAGAGATCAAAAAGACACACTTTAGTCCTCAAACTGACATCCTTGCTCCTCAATAATTTGGAGATTTCCCTGACTGTAGACCTTTCCAGTGCAATACTTTGCTTGATTTCCTGACTGCTGGTACCAAGGGTGTCGACTGTGAATGCAAGTAGGATGAACTTGCTAACAGTTTCAATCTTCTCTCCATCTGTCATGCTATTCAGTGGTAAGAATCTCTGTTTTCTTGATGTTGAGATGCAATCTGTATTAATCGCTGTATTCTTTGATTTTATGCAACAAATGCTTTAAGTCCTTCTCACTTTCAGCAAGCAAAGTTGAATCATCCGCACAAGGAAGGTTTGATGAGTCTTCCTCAAATCTTGATGCCACATTTTTCTTCATAGACTCCATCTTCTCAAATAATTTGCTTAGCAAACAGATTGAATAGGTATGGAGAGAGAATACAATCCTGGCACACTCTCTTCTTAATTTTAAACCATGTAGTAATGTCTATCTGTGTTTCATTGACTATGCAAAGGCATTTGGCTGTGTAGATCATAACAAACTGTGGCTGACTCTGAGAAGAATGGGAATCCCAGAACACTTGATAGTTCTAATGCGAAACTTATACT